GATGTTCAACGCAGTGTCTAATGAGGTCATGGGCAAAAGAAGGTCATAGTTAAAAGGTCATTGTCAAGAGACGGTCAGTGTCCGCCATTCACAGAAACCGGATCCATCAGACAGTCAGACAAACAAGACGACAAAGCGGTGTGCCCAGGATGTCACGGTCGGTGTTCGATGACTTTACCTGAAATATAATTCCTATCGCCCTTTTCCATTCAATATCACTACTCCCCTACAGTGTGACACAGTACAAGTATATATAGAATAGTGTGCGACACAGTACAAGTATATATAGAATTGTGTGTGACACAGTACAAGTATATATAGAAATGTGTGTGACACAGTACAAGTATATATAGGATAGTGTGCGACACAGTACAAGTATATATAGAATTGTGTGTGACACAGTACAAGTATATATAGGATAGTGTGTGACACAGTACAAGTATATATAGGATAGTGTGTGACACAGTACAAGTATATATAGGATAGTGTGTGACACAGTACAAGTATATATAGAATAGTGTGTGACACAGTACAAGTATATATAGAAATGTGTGTGACACAGTACAAGTATATATAGGATAGTGTGTGACACAGTACAAGTGTATATAGAATAGTGTGTGACACAGTACAAGTATATATAGGATAGTGTGTGACACAGTACAAGTATATATAGGATAGTGTGTGACACAGTACAAGTATATATAGGATAGTGTGTGACACAGTACAAGTATATATAGGATAGTGTGTGACACAGTACAAGTATATATAGAAATGTGTGTGACACAGTACAAGTATATATAGAAATGTGTGTGACACAGTACAAGTATATATAGGATAGTGTGTGACACAGTACAAGTATATATAGAAATATGTGTGACACAGTACAAGTGTATATAGGATAGTGTGTGACACAGTACAAGTGTATATAGAATAGTGTGTGACACAGTACAAGTATATATAGAAATGTGTGTGACACAGTACAAGTATATATAGGATAGTGTGTGACACAGTACAAGTATATATAGAATTGTGTGTGACACAGTACAAGTATATATAGGATAGTGTGTGACACAGTACAAGTATATATAGGATAGTGTGTGACACAGTACAAGTGTATATAGAAATGTGTGTGACACAGTACAAGTGTATATAAAATAGTGTGTGACACAGTACAAGTATATATAGAATAGTGTGTGACACAGTACAAGTATATATAGAAATGTGTGTGACACAGTACAAGTATATATAGAAATGTGTGTGACACAGTACAAGTATATATAGGACACAGTACAAGTATATATAGGATGTGTGTGACACAGTACAAGTATATATAGAAATGTGTGTGACACAGTACAAGTATATATAGGATAGTGTGTGACACAGTACAAGTATATATAGAAATGTGTGTGACACAGTACAAGTATATATAGAAATGTGTGTGACACAGTACAAGTATATATAGAAATGTGTGTGACACAGTACAAGTATATATAGGATAGTGTGTGACACAGTACAAGTTTATATAGAATAGTGTGCGACACAGTACAAGTATATATAGAATTGTGTGTGACACAGTACAAGTACAAGTATATATAGGATAGTGTGTGACACAGTACAAGTATATATAGGATAGTGTGTGACACAGTACAAGTATATATAGGATAGTGTGTGACACAGTACAAGTATATATAGGATAGTGTGTGCCACAGTACATATAAAGAAAGAAGACCTGGTTTGATTGCGACGGTGTATTTCGATCACAGAGGAACAGATCTTCAGATTGAACATTTCAGCAAAGAAATAGAAAACAGAATTATTGTTTTGGTATGTTTTCGCGAAGTAGAAAATTCAATTTGAAACACGGGCCAGTGTTTCTCAAGTAATGAAGATGTGATTTGTGAGTGTTTATTTATGATTTTGATATAGTGTCATCGCTCCGTAAGATTATCGAACATAATTTATTTCAAACCCGAAGAAAAACCCATCTTCCTAGTGATTGCGCGATTGCGCGATTGCGAAACAGGCTATCAGCTTATTTCATCCACTCCCGTTGGCCTGAATGGAAGCGCGCGAGGGGACTTATTGTGGTAGGGAACCGGAGTACACGGGGAAAACCCACGTGACAGGTGACCCTATACCTTTTTACGTCCGGTCTGGGTATCCAAAACCAGACGGCTATGTGAAAGACAAGTGTGTTACCACTGCATCAACCAACCACCAGCTAAGCCGCTAGCTGAGGGTTACTATAATTATTTGTCAACCCAAAGATTGAGCTAGTAACAGTCATAAATCAGGTTAAAAGATCCTTTAAAATATATATATATTTCAGAAGGACGAGAGTTATTTTACTAAAATTAGTGTTGACCATGGATACGCTATCCATTTTATGACATTCATATTCTATAACCCCTTTATTCGTGTTTCCCTAACAATACCTTCATCAACTTGGTCTAATTTTTCAGAAACGGTATTTACTGTGTTCGTGAAGTTAATATAATTATTATTGTGTCACGTTATCATTTATTTTTGGCGATGCGAGTTAACAAAAGTAATGTAAATTTTAGTTAACTTTTATGCATTTGGGTATGGCATCCTGGTAGTATTTCCAAAATCAAGTTGATATATCCAAACATCACGCCTCGCACTGTAGTTCCATTGATGTAAGACGGATTGGTTTGCAAAACCGGTCTACTACCAGAATTGGTATGTCCTCATGGTTTTTACAAGATCAGTTTCAACCGGCGCGCCATTGTACTAATTTTCTATATTATTTATAACATACTATTAGAAGAAAAAAACATACCCAAGGAATAAAGATAAAGTGTACCTTATTTACCTGACTGTCGTTAGTCATTTTTTGGTGTGAACTTTCCATTTCTCGGGTTATTTCTATTTGTAGGGATTTCTTATGCTATCACCACAAATAGTGGCTTGCTACCCGGAACCTTGTCGCAAAAAGAGTCTATTTGTGAAGACTTTGACCACTACGTCGGCAGTTTTGTTGAAAGACACATGGTTTTCCTGATCTGCCAGACGACACTGTCCGGTGTGCAGGACGGCATACTGCCTGTCTGGTGTGTCGAACGGCATACTGACTGTCTTGTGTGCTGGGCAACATACTGGCTGTCTTGTGTGTCAGGCGACATACTGACTGCCTGGTATGTCGGGCGATATACTGACTGTCTGGTGTGTCGGGCGACATACTGTCTGACGTGTCGGGCGACATACTGACTGCCTGGTGTGTCGGGCGACATACTGACTGTCTGGTGTGTCGGACAACATACTGTCTGGTGTATCGGACGACATACTGACTGTCTAGTGTGTCGGACGGCATACTGACTGCCTGGTGTGTCGGGCGACATACTGACTGTCTGGTGTGTCGGGAGATATACTGACTGTTTGGTGTGCCGGACGATATATAACCTGTTGGACATAGACTTGTCTGATCTTTCGGACATTCTGCACCGATTAGTTAATTTCCTTCAAACGAATTACAAACTTAACATAAAGTAATTACCATCTCAATAAACGATTCTAAAAATAGTACAATTCTGGGATGGCATTGCACGTGAATGTATACCTTACATTCATTCAAAGTTAGCCTAAGATCTTTAAAGCTGTGCTTATAACAAAAATGTGTCGTGTACTTATATGCGGTGTCATTGCGTGCTTCGAGATCGCTGTGGTCGTATGTCGGAGTAAGGCGGCCTTAGGACTGATTGCCCCCACAGCGAGTGTTTTCCGATAACCGTTACCATTATATGTTTCCTGCATGGAAAAAAGTACCGGAATGTCGGAATTTTACCATTCAACTACATTGGCACACACCAATACACTGGTTGACATACATTTGGTCCGGAGTGCTTAGAAAGACGTTTGAACCAATCATTTTGCGGTATTTTATGAAAAGTAAGATCTCGATGCTCGTTTCCACACTGGCATACAAAACCACGAAGAAATCATTTTATCTAAGCAGAGTTCTTTTGTTTGGTGATCAGAGAAAATGAATTACATCACAAAGTAACAAGTTCTTTTTTAATGTCATTCGAGCACGCACCGGAAAAGTACAGGTAATATTAAGAAGAGATTCGGAGTTTTATGTTAAGTTGTAGGACAGAGACAAATTTAGTCGCTCTACAGTCATAAGTCGACTTCTTGAAAACAAAGTTCCTTTATTTCTCCTCCATCGTTTTATCAACAGCTGGAATGCTTCTCTCAAATGATACCATTTCACTCCTATTGAAGCATCCAAACAACTTAAGCATTCATAAAAAAAACAACAATACTGGGAAGTTTGAACGTTTCCTCTTAAATCAAGTGTCGGGCCTTTTCAGGAATCCTCTGTAAAAACAAGAGTATCTATACCTTCAAATGATAACATTCATTTCTTAATTTCACAATTCTTAATAACGCAATTACAATTATCAGTACCCTGAAAGCTTTAAACAGTCATGAAAGCACGAAAGCACTAAACCGTTCCACAGGTGTGAAAATACTTTATTCCAAAGCAAACACCGTTCACATATGATACGACTCTTTATAAAGCGTTACCAGATCGCACTCACATTAATCATGTACTGTTCACTGAATTTTTATAATTAAGTTTTAATCACCGCCCGCATTATCAAACCATTTCAACAGTCAACACAATCCGTATCGCGACAAAACTATACTCATAATCATCACCCCACACCTTGCACAAACGACTGCTTCCTGCAATAGCTGATCGAATTAGTTACAGTTCATCGTATCTAGTACAACAGCCACAATTCATTCTACAAAGAACTCGTTCATGAATCCTAAACATTGAGACTTGCTGACTGGAATCATTTGCCTTCACAAAATGTTGTGAATAACTATTCCCGGGCAGGTATGCTTGGCAACCAAGAACGCCCTTGAGTACCAAATAGTACCATAGCGCGGCTTCTTCTACCACGTCTAACAAATGGCAGACCATTGATTCTCTCGGTTACAATACATGTAATCCGGTATCAATGGCGTCATTCATTGGGCCACAATGTGTCCACGGCGTACAGAATGTCGTCTATGTTACCATCCAGCAGTTTGTCGTTGAGGAAAAGTTTGTCGTTGAAAAGTTCTGGGGGTATTTCCGACTTGTTATCATTGTTCACGGTAAACAAACTCGAGCTCCGGTACTTTAAGCGATGTTTTAGACGCGATGTTTTACCTATCAAGTTTTCCACGCTTCGACTAATCATTCCGGAAATCTTGCCTTTGTGTTTCCGGCGATTGGTTTTGATCACCCCGCCCTCACCTTCTGTCTCTTCCTCTCCTTGCTCTCGAACGGTCATTATTTCCAGAGGAGGCTGGAGCAGGGAAGACTTGCTCCTTTCATAGAGTAAGTCATCTTCGTCGCTAAATGTCGTTTGTCGACTACATCTCGGCGATCTGGAATCAAGACTAGCACTTGACGAACGATGTCGATTTCGATCAGAGCAACTGCTTGCGCTGTCGTCGATGCTCTCGTACACACATACTTTAGGGATGCAAGGCACGGGTTCCGAATACTGTTTCGTAAACTGGTTCCGCGTTTTCGGAACCGGTTTGGCTTTATGATGGCTGCGCAATAAACTTTGCTGTTGATTAACAAAGAAGTTCGCCGAATCGTTAAGATCACTATAGGATTTGCTCGACCTTTTATAGTGAGTTGAGTCACCGGAAGTCGAGTCAAACGACACAGCGCTTTGCTTCTTCAGTCTAGATCTATTGCGGTTGTGACGAGGTGGATCTGGAGACAGTTTGAAACTCTTTGGTGTTGGTTGGTTTTCCATAAATCCCTCCGCCTCTGTCTCCTCCTCAATATCCCCACACGACCGCGACGGTTTACTACATATTGGCCCTTCGTAACTCACGTGGATATCGTACGATTGAGACCGAGGACCTAGATCTTTCTTACGATTTGCCGCGTTGCCGATCAAAGGAGATTTTCGGAATTCCTCAACAATTTTAGGGTCCTTAAGGTCAATGTCGTCACCATCTGCCATTTCAACTAGCCAATGAATGAGCTTGTCGTAGGAATCCTTTGGGGGTTGAGGACTCGCACTGACGTCACACTCCGTATCTTCTTGTATGATAAGGGGGATTGGAAGGTCTTTTCGAATGCCGATCGCTGGGCTGACGCTTGGCTCGGCGAACTCGATGACCTCTGCAAAAGCAATTAATTTATTTTAATTCTAAAAATGTAATTCTAAATTGGTATATACGCGTGTTATTGAATCAAAGTTCCTACGTGTAGTTTAACGATAATTGAAATAAAATTAAGCTGCTTATCAAAAAAGTCTATCTGAAAAAAAGCCTTGTGATCGTAATGTTTCATTAGTACCAACATTCAAACAACTAACAGCAGTTGGACAACTGGTCAATGCTAATATCATAAAAAAATTATCGGTCCCTACAAAATATAACCAGGAGTACAATTCTTTTCCTCGACATTCTAGCTGGTCAGCTGTGTTTTATTGTAATGATATAACGACTTCCTGTCACACACTCGACTTAAATTAATCACATACATCGGATGGTAATCGTCACTGCTTGATGGTGTTGGTCTATAGTATGGACGTTATTGGTCAGAGACTCCCTAACTACTTGGTAGACAAGTGTTGAAAGAAGGGTCAGGGAAATGGTTGTGACACGTCTTAACAATATATTTACACAATAAGGTCATAAAAAGACCATGATCAACACAGCAAAAATGATTAGTTTCGGAACAGACAACAAGTGCATAACACTTTTTGCTACTTTCAGACATGCGCAGGTACATCAGTACACTTCTTTCGACCTATATATCACAGACATGCGCATTACCAGGTGCTGTATTCCGATATAACCCACATTAATATTTAATAAACCATCGTGTCAGGCAGACAGATATACTATCACAGCTATCTGTGAAGATCTGTCAATGTTGAGCGGATATTAAATAATTTGTAAGCGGTGCAAAGATAATATGTCCAATGTTAAAATTGAGTAATAAAAAAATAATCAATCTGTTCTCTGCGGGGTTCGAACTAGCGACCCTTCGTCTCTACCGTGACACTGTAGCACTCGAATAGAAGGAAATTCCCTAGTCGAGGCTATACACGACTAATATACGGCCAATACACACATTACTCGAACGATCCATTCTTAGTGTACAGATAACCTGCCAAAGGTACACGGATATCTGTTTACAGTGGTACATTGTAATCTGTCAAAGGCACACGGATATCTGTATACAGTGATACATCGATAACCTGTCAGAGGTACACGGATATCTGTATACAGTGATACATAGATATCCTGTCACAGATACACAGATATCTGTATACGGTGATACATAGATAACCTGACACAGGTACACGGATATCTCTATACAGTAATACATGGATAACCTGACAGAGGTACACGGATATCTGTATACAGTGATACATAGATATCCTGTCACAGATACACAGATATCTGTATACGGTGATACATAGATAACCTGACACAGGTACACGGATATCTCTATACAGTAATACATGGATAACCTGACAGAGGTACACGGATATCTGTATACATTGATACATAGATAACCTGTCAAAGGTACACAGATATCTGTATACATTGATACAAAGATAACATGTCAAAGGCACACGGATATCTGTATACAGTGATACATAGTTCATCTGTCACAGGTACAAGGATATCTGTATACATTGATATAAAGATAACCTGTCAGAGGTACACAGATAACCAGTCCACATCAGTACAATGACAAAATCGTCCTGCTACAAGAATCCTCCCACGTAATAAGGATTCGCCAGTGGCACAAATACATATGTTCAGTAAAGTGCCTAGACTTTCCACTCACAATACACTGAAGATCTTTTCAAACTGTCTATCGAAGTGATATTAAACAATATACCGGTACTGGGATAATCCATTCATTTCTCATGTTCATCAACACTACAAAGCAAATCAATCGATGGGGAATTTACCATATTGACTCAAACAATAGTCCAAATACCAATCGTAGACACTAAAAAATGTCGGGAAACCCAATCATACACACTTCCACACTAGGGTTAGAACACCGATCATACACAACACAACATCAAACAGGACGCCAATCATAGACACTTCCACACTAGGGTTAGAACACCGATCATACACAACACAACATCAAACAGGACACCAATCATAGACACTTACAGACTACGGTCAGAACACCGATCATACACAACACCAAACAGGACACCAATCATAGACACTTACAGACTACGGTCAGAACACCGATCATACACACTTACAGACTACGGTCAGAACACCGATCATACACAACACCAAACAGGACACCAATCATAGACACTTACAGACTACGGTCAGAACACCGATCATACACAACACAACACCAAACAGGACACCAATCATAGACACTTACAGACTACGGTCAGAACACCGATCATACACAACACCAAACAGGACACCAATCATAGACACTTACAGACTACGGTCAGAACACCGATCATACACAACACCAAACAGGACACCGATCATAGACACTTACAGACTACGGTCAGAACACCGATCATACACAACACCACACCAAACAGGACACCAATCATAGACACTTACAGACTACGGTCAGAACACCGATCATACACAACACCAAACAGGACACCAATCATAGACACTTACAGACTACGGTCAGAACACCGATCATACACAACACAACACCAAACAGGACACCAATCATAGACACTTACAGACTACGGTCAGAACACCGATCATACACAACACCAAACAGGACACCAATCATAGACACTTACAGACTACGGTCAGAACACCGATCATACACAACACCAAACAGGACACCAATCATAGACACTTACAGACTACGGTCAGAACACCGATCATACACAACACAACACCAAACAGGACACCAATCATAGACACTTACAGACTACGGTCAGAACACCGATCATACACAACACCAAACAGGACACCAATCATAGACACTTACAGACTACGGTCAGAACACCGATCATACACAACACCAAGCAGGACACCAATCATAGACACTTACAGACTACGGTCAGAACACCGATCATAGACACTTACAGACTACGGTCAGAACACCGATCATAGACACTTACAGACTACGGTCAGAACACCGATCATAGACACTTACAGACTACGGTCAGAACACCGATCATAGACACTTACAGACTACGGTCAGACCACCTATCATACACCAATACCTTGATGCTGATTACAGGACAACCCAAATGTTTTAAAATACCCTTAAAGAATAACACTCGGTCAGAACCATGTCCAAGCTCCAAGAATACTGGTTAATTAGAAGTCATTTAAATTTTTCAAGACAACTGTCTGATGACGTCATTATGACAAATCTAAGAACCATTTATCTCAGCACGCCACCGTTCAAATATCAAGTCCTATTGCTTCATCGTTGTTGTTGAACAACGTACGCAAGAGAAAAAAAAAAGAAAGTTGACACTGTACGGATGAGTAGACAAGGTCGCTGCACCACGGTATACGTTCATATTCTGTTTTATCGACCCGAAAGGACTGCTCATCCATGTTTTATGTAGTAATCGGGACGTTTGTAAACCCCAAAGGTAATATTTTCTGACCAACAATGACCGTGTCTAGTTGTTAGAATGACGGTCTCCTTGGGTTCCGCGCTTAAGCGCATTTCCCGTGTGACACTTTGACTGGTCTAAAGTGGGGTCTTTAACTGTACAGTCACACACAATGTGTCAAGGGACAGTCAGATTCGAACTCCACCGGACACCAGATGTTGGCCGCTCACATTTAGAATCGATCCGATTCGGCCTATTTGTACAGTTCCTGTAATTCTAGTTCAGCCACACATGTAAGTGTCCTTGTTTGCCATTTTTGTTTGAATCAAACTGATTTAGAGTCAAGAGCAACCTTGTAATTTGTTTCGATTTTGACCTCATGTCAAGGTATATATCAAGTCTTTGAAAAAAATGACAATTCGTAGTGTTAACGTTCCATTCATGACAATTTTTGCAAATTTTGAAAATCCTTTATTTGACAATGTCCTGAAATTCAGCTATTTTCAAGACTTTTTTGCTTTAATAGAATTTTATGGAAATAGTTTTGAAATAAAAAGAAGGGGTCGCTGTGCTTAGTGTCTTGTAATATGTATCCAATTAAGTTGTTAAAAATCCAGAAATATAGTGAAACATTGATATTTGGTTCTTAAAATTCAAGTAAAGTGGTGTACCAAGTCATCATTCACGTATTTCATATCTGCGATCTGTGGTGATAAGTCACACACAAGTAAGATTCTCACTCAATATATAGAAACACTGCATATGACGTGATGAAGCTACGACATCACATTTAAAACAATCCCTTGTTATCAGATGAATTGTCACAACACAATAATGGATAGCTTTTGTATTTAAAAAAATAATTCTTCTGTTACTGGATGTATCCCAGGCTCCGACAAATTGCAATATTAACCAGCAATTGGCGAATTCCTGCACAAGAAGTTAACATCGGAAAATAATTAATTTTTGTGTCATGCTGGTAGAAGAGAAACCCTATTTGCAAACTGAATGAATGCGCGCGTGCGTTTTTTAATTAAAAAAAGGACAACAGTACAAGGGATTTATCAGTTGTGTGTAACTTTGTACTTTTGTACATTTCCATTGGGAATGTGACGGGCCCACTCATGAATGAGTTTAGAATTATTGAAAACGGCACAGTTTAGCCCACACAAGCTATTATACTGTCATCAGATTAACAAATTTACATCAAATTTATTTATCTATGTATTATTTTTGTTCTGGAAACCGAACTAAGAAATTAATTATGAGCTTTGATAGTTACATATTCTAGTTTTCAAACTTGTCATGAATGCGCCGGCGAATTCATTTAACTGAATTGAACTGAAAATCATTCCTTTCCTATCAAAGCTTCAGTATATACACCTAGAAAGTGCGTGTCATTCAGTCTGTGTACATGTCTTTAATTATATATATTTTTAACAAACCATAGTATATTACATGCTGTATATTACATGCTGTATACTATTTGTAGTATATTACATGATGTATACTATTTGTAGTATACTGTTTGTAGTATATTACATGCTGTATATTACATGCTGTATACTGTTTGTAGTATATTACATGTTGTATATTACATGCTGTATACTATTTGTAGTATATTACAGGCTGTATATTATTTGTAGTATATTACATGCTGTATATTATTTGTAGTATATTACATGCTGTATAATATTTGTAGTATATTACATGCTGTATATTACATGCTGTATATTACATGCTGTATACTATTTGTAGTATATTACATGCTGTATACTATTTGTAGTATATTACATGCTGTATATTATTTGTAGTATATTACATGCTGTATATTATTTGTTGTATACTATTTGTAGTTTATTACATGCTGTATATTACATGCTATATACTATTTGTAGTATATTACATGTTGCATATTATATGTTGTATTCTGTTTGTAGTATATTACATGCTGTATATTACATGCTGTATACTGTTTGTAGTATATTACATGCTGTATACTATTTGTAGTATATTACATGCTGTATATTACCTGCTGTATACTATTTGTAGTATATTACATGCTGTATATTACATGCTGTATAATATTTGCAGTTTATTACATGCTGTATATTACATGCTGTATACTATTTGTAGTATATTACATGCTGTATATTACATGCTGTATACTATTTGTAGCATATTACATGCTGTATATTACATGCTGTATACTATTTGTAGTATATTACCTGCTGTATACTTTTTGTAGTATATTGCATGCTGTATATTACATGCTGTATACTATTTGTAGTATATTACATGCTGTATATTATTTGTAGTATATTACATGCTGTATATTATTTGTTGTATACTATTTGTAGTTTATTACATGCTATATACTATTTGTAGTATATTACATGTTGCATATTATATGTTGTATTCTGTTTGTAGTATATTACATGCTGTATATTACATGCTGTATACTGTTTGTAGTATATTACATGCTGTATACTATTTGTAGTATATTACATGCTGTATATTACCTGCTGTATACTATTTGTAGTATATTACATGCTGTATATTACATGCTGTATAATATTTGTAGTATATTACATGCTGTATATTACATGCTGTATTAATATTTGTAGTATATTACATGCTGTATACTATTTGTAGTATATTACATGCTGTATATTACATGCTGTATACTATTTGTAGTATATTACATGCTGTATACTATTTGTAGTATATTACAGGCTGTATACTATTTGTAGTATATTACACGCTGTATACTATTTTTAGTATATTACATGCTGTATAATATTTGTAGTATATTACATGCTGTATATTACATGCTGTATACTATTTGTAGTATATTACATGCTGTATACTATTTGTAGTTTATTACATGCTGTATATTACATGCTGTATACTATTTGTAGTATATTACATGCTGTATATTACATGCTGTATACTATTTGTAGTATATTACATGCTGTATACTATTTGTAGTATATTACATGCTGTATATTACATACTGTATACTATTTGTAGTATATTACATGCTGTATACTATTTGTAGTTCATTACATGCTGTATATTACATGCTGTATACTATTTGTAGTATATTACATGCTGTATATTACATGCTGTATAGTATATTACATGCTGTATACTATTTGTAGTATATTACATGCTGTATATTACATGCTGTATACTATTTGTAGTATATTACATGCTGTATATTACATGCTGTATACTATTTGTAGTATATTACATGCTGTATATTATGCTGTATACTATTTGTAGTATATTACATGTAGTATATTACATGCTGTATACTATTTGTAGTATATTACATGCTGTATACTATTTGTAGTATATTACATGCTGTATATTACATGCTGTATACTATTTGTAGTATATTACATGCTGTATATTACCTGCTGTATACTATTTGTAGTATATTACATGCTGTATATTACATGCTGTATACTATTTGTAGTATATTACATGCTGTATACTATTTGTAGTATATTACATGCTGTATACTATTTGTAGTATATTACATGCTGTATACTATTTGTAGTATATTACATGCTGTATACTATTTGTAGTATATTACAGGCTGTATACTGTTTGTAGTATATTACATGCTGTATACTATTTGTAGTATATTACATGCTGTATATTACATGCTGTATAATATTTGTAGTATATTACATGCTGTATATTACATGCTGTATAATATTTGTAGTATATTACATGCTGTATATTACATGCTGTATACTATTTGTAGTATATTACATGCTGTATACTATGTGTAGTATATTACATGCTGTATATTACAGGCTGTATACTATTTGTAGTATATTACATGCTTTATACTGTTTGTAGTATATTACATGCTGTATACTATTTGTAGTATATTACATGCTGTATAATATTTGTAGTATATTACATGCTGTATATTACATGCTGTATACTATTTGTAGTATATTACATGTTGTATACTATTTGTAGTATATTACATGCTGTATATTACATGCTGTATAATATTTGTAGTATATTACATGCTGTATATTACATGCTGTATACTATTTGTAGTATATTACATGTTGTATACTATTTGTAGTATATTACATGCTGTATATTACATGCTGTATACTATTTGTAGTATATTACATGCTGTATACTATTTGTAGTATATTACAGGCTGTATACTATTTGTAGTATATTACATGTATATTACATGTATAATATTTGTGTATATTACATGCTGTATATTACATGCTGTATACTATTTGTAGTATATTACATGCTGTATACTATTTGTAGTATATTACATGTATATTACAGGCTGTATACTATTTGTAGTATATTACATGCGGTATACTATTTGTAGTATATTACATGCGGTATACTATTTGTAGTTTATTACATGCTGTATACTATGTGTAGTATATTACATGCTGTATACTATTTGTAGTATATTACATGCTGTATACTATTTGTAGTATATTACATGTTGTATATTACATGTTGTATATTATTTGTTGTATATTATTTGCGTCAAGGGCGCCTATAAATAATGACTTTTGTTCAATCCTTTTGTTTATTCAAAGCTATAAAACATGTTTAAATCAATGAGTTCTTGAGAGCTACATATTATGTTTCTGTTCCGAGTCTGTCCGTTCGTCCTTCTATCTATCGCTCTGTCTTCTAATCTTGTTTGTGGAATTCGAACATAATAGTTTTTGTCAAATGTCAAAATCGGAACTTCCAATATAACACAGTTTATCTGCGGGGCCTGATCTGTCCATTTAGGATTTAGTTCCTATTCCATGTGTTTTGTCTATTTAACTTTAACTTATGCAGTACAGTAATCGGGTAGGTTTTGTTGTTAAATGACCTATAAACATTAGTTATTTCAGGAGGATTAAATATTAAAATGGCGGTGTTGTTGGCGTGGTAGAGTTGGTGAAAATAAGCGGGACTTGCTGCCTCAATTGGAGATCT